GTGTTTTAGATTTACAAAGTGGTAATGTATCACTGTTGTGTTTACAGTCTTGCCTCTCCTCCCAAGTGCCCAAACACTCATTGTAACTGTTGGTTTATTTGCATATAGGCTGCTGACTACCATGGGATTCTCACTGTATTGTAACTCAGAGTTATTATATTGAAGTTGGGGGAGCTTGTGAGTCACAGTGGGAAGAGGTTAAAGCAGTAAGTCACAAATGTGGCCTAAAACATTTAAAAAACACATTCACAAGGCACTGACCACCAGGCAGCTGTGTACTGTGGGACAGTGAACAAGGCTGCGCAACAGTATACCACTTCTTTTAAGAAGTAGAGGCCAGACACACCTTGCACTTTTGACCCAGCATATGAACAGCTCATATTAATTAAATCAGAAGAGGATGTGATACATGAATTGCCTGCCCTTTCTTATCAGTGAGGCAGTGAGGTGTTGAGTTCCCCCCTATCTTCTTTCTAAACTGAATCATTAACTTTTGACGCAGCACTTTACAGTCTTACTCCACCAATGAGACTTTGTTTGTATGCAGTCTAAGAAAAAGTAAATGACCAGGAACACACATTTTTGGTATTAGGCAACAATTATGTTTGGGAAAAGTGCATATAAACTAATAGTGTATCAAGAAGCTTTTCTCAAAGTGAGCGTCATAGTCCTTTTTCAGCATCAGTACCTCGTGCAACATTTGTGTGGACAGAATTAGATTCATAGCTCCCAAATGTACTGTATGTGTGTGTCTGGGTGTTTGTGCCAGAATGTGTGGTCACTCCCGAGTGTATTAAAGAAGCACGTTGCTGCAGGTTGGGGCTGTGTGTATGTTCCAACCAGAGATTACAGGGCCTGTCGGCAGACATGGGTCACAAGATGGCCTGAAATGTGACAAGTTCATCTCAGAGAGCTGGTAGACAGTATCATGTAGCTTAAAGCGCTTGTGCTTATATAGCACAGAATTTGGTGTTATTTCTGTATGTGGGTGGCCTGGACAAATGGCTCCATAGGTGAATGTGTCATACATGTGTTGTGGTTGTATGGTGGGTTTTCAAACTTACTTTTTTCATAGTTTTAAACATTCTTTCACTGAGGGATTTAAAGCTTCAACCAAACGTTTCACCCTCTATAGACCGTTTTTATCCATCTTTGTTTATGTGCATTTGCACATGAAAAACCTTGTGTGTGGAACCATTAGAAAAAATGTTGAAATATTGCAAAAAAAATGTTTTTGACACTTGACTGAGGTGGAAAAGATTAAAAAAGCAAAATGGAAGCAGACAAATTCATCATAATGTGCATGAAAGCATGTGACCTAAACATTCACTGAGGTTTCTGCTCCAGTGAAGAGATGGAAAAGTGCAGCAAACAAAAACATCAGGTGTGTGGAGCAATAATGGAACATTTCCTTAAATGAATACATTAAATATAAATATAGGCAATACCGTGTTTCAGTATTTAAAATGTTTCACAGCGTGCTGTTTGACTGGGGCTCTATCAACGGGCTATTATTCTTGTTGTGTGCTCTTCCTCTGCAGCGATTTAATGACTGACTTATAATGAGCCACCAGCTGTTTATCTTGATCAACCAACTCCAAACATTTGCCTAACAGCAGTGGATTGATTCATTCGTATTTTCTTTTGACAAGCTTTTCAAAGATTCTCTAAAATTTGTGTTACATACGAGGCAGCGAGCCCAAACGAAGTTTACACTACAAAGATAAGCCACAAACTGTTGTACCCGGTACTTTTTACCATACTGACTCTGAGAGACGAGGCAGTCCCAGTTCTACACGTCATAATAATAGTATTAAACACCCTGTCTGCTGACAGTCATCAACTCTTCTCTCTAGTTATCCTTGACCAGATGTACCCTGTAGAAACTCATAAGCATGACTAAGCAGTTAACAGTCTAACTAGACATCCTATCTCCACTAAACATTTCTAATACATAAAGTATCTATCCAATATCAATCTGACTAAAAATACCTAACAAAACAAAGAAGGCAGAATTAATCAAAGTAATATTTGTGGTGTAATCTCATCAGCTGATATTAGTGAACTCAAGTTATTTAAGTCCACACGTCGCTAAAATGACTTACATCAGCCTTACAGTATATTTATTGGCCCAAAACCTACAAACAGATTATGACTTCCTACACCAATGGTCATGGTCTCTTGTTACACTAAGCAGCCAACACCAACATGATCTAAACACAGGAAGTAGCCTACACATGGTGAGCAAGCTTATGTCACAGTGAGGGTAATTTATCTGTATAACTAGCCCCAAATTTTAGCATTAGTTAGTTCATAACCTTTTCAGACCTACTTTTTCTCTCCCTTGTAGTTTTAAGTTGCAAAATCTAATAATTGCATTGTTATCCAGACAGGCAGCTTGTACTCAGGACACACTTATGAACAGCGATTTCAACCCTGGTAAATCACATTAACTGATTATTATATAAGTTACCAGTTAACTAGCTCACCTTTAGAATTCAGTTTAGCTAGCCTGTTTCTAGCAGCTGCAAGCTTGATTACTAGCCTGTGAAACAATGAAAGTATAAATAGATCACTGACATTACTGTTTGAATTTCTTTTATTTCATTTGTTGCCATTCAAGTTTCTCACGTGGCTAAGCAGAACCTCAGGGACTATGGGTTTCCATCCACTGTGGCCTAGCATGACAAATGACAAACCTGCCTACAAGCTCCAGCCTGACAATAACAATTTAACTCTTCTCATTATTGTCTTTAGATCAATATTTCATCTCTATTGGCTTAATTTAAGGTCAATTGGTTAAAAAGTCTTTACTTATTAAGGGAGTGTGTCTGTAATATCCTTACACAACAAAACCTTTAATATGTGAATGGAAAAGTGCAATTTGTTGAATTGGAATCAGAGGAAGCATTTATTTTAAATAAAAGATTATGTATGTGCGTGTGGGGGGGGTTTTGTTAGCGAGCGACTGTGTTGTTTACATGAAAGAGCAAACCTTGTGGGTGAATCTCTGGTTGCTGCTTTTCTGTATGTGTTGTTTGTCTGCTGTCAGTCCGTCTATCATTCAGTCAGTTTTATGAATGTGTGTGGGTGGGAGCTGGTGAACCAGTTTTACCACCTGTGTGTGTGTGTGTGTGTGTGTGTGTGTGTGCATCAAATCCCTTGCACTGTCTGTAATATAATTATATAACACCACCTCTCTCATTCACTCCAACTCTGGCTCACTCCCTTCCTCCCTCTCTCTCTTTCTATGTTTCTCTTTCTCTCCTTGTCACACACACACACACACCTACACACACACACAGCATCAATGTAATTCACAATGGCACATCCTGTTTTTGTTAGATCATTCATGTGGATTGTTCATTGTGTCCCTGTGAGAGTGGTGATTGTCATGCTTATTGTTTCATGCAGAGGGAGTTTTTGTACACTACACTGTAATTGTAGTTTCTGTCCGTTTGTTAAATGTGTCTGATCGTAGCTCCAAACTGTTCTGTTTCATCTACGTTAACTGCAGTTTGAAGAAGGTTACACTGGATTAGGAAAAGAATATGTGAAGTAGCACAGGAGCTAATTAGAATTTTCATTATCAGTTCTTCTGTTGCTAAAAAGAAATGTACAGGCAAGGACATTTTACAGTTAAAAACATTTCTGTACTTCAGTTTCTTGTCATTTATTGGCTGGCACATACTCTGATACCAACATACAGTATCTCCAGTGAGCTAATAATGCCCATTATAGCTGCCTGGTGTATTTATTGTTTGTGCTCTAACAATTAGTTTATAAAATGTCAGAAAAGAGCATAAAATTCTGCTTACAGTTTCTCAGATTGCTAGTATGTCTGACCAGCATCCGAAAACCCAAAGCTACTCACTTTGCAATGATATAAAACAGAGAAAAGAAGCAAATCTTCACATATGAGAATCTAAAATCAAGAGATATTTGGCATTGTCACTGAATAACCTAAGGGTTCAGTAAGAAAATCTCTTTAGTTAATGACAAATAGCTGCTTCAGATTGCTGATTTCTTGTATTTGTTTATAGCACATTTGATTATTTTAAGTGGAGAAATGTCAGAATCTTCACAAACCTTCACACATTTGTAATTTGCATATGACATTTGCTGTGTGAAATATGAATTGTGCTCTATATTTCTAATGGTTAATACTTTGTTTGGCAAAACTGCAATCATTTTGTATGCCTCCACTGGAAAACACTGGAAAACCCTGAATCAAAAACATTTTCTGCTGGTCAAGTCATTGATTAACTGAGTGATCATCTAATGTTGAGATTCTCTTCTCAAAGACATTCGGAGTACCACTAAGTTGAGTGTGTCTGATGCTGACTTGTCCTGGTACAACACCTCCCACCTCAGCATAGCGAGGACGAGGCAAAGTCGTGACTTGCGACGCCCTCAAACATTCTGCCAGTGTGTGAATCCAGCTCTAAAATAAACCGGTGTGGCATTAACAAACCCAGGAAAATTAAGACAAGTTGGAGTTTTCAGGATAGTCAGTTTCATCAAATTGAGGCCAGGTACTAAGTGGGATCTGCTGCCTGAGGAAGAGCTATTGTTGCTTAAAGGGTTTTTGTATTACACACAAAATATTTGTTGTAAGCCTTAAATGCACACATCGTCACATTCCCTCCTTCGACCTAAAAACCTAGTCCAGTTGATTTTTCTATGTTTTTTCATGATTGAAGTGTGACACTCTTGGTCCTGGTGCTTTGTAATTCAAAACAGACATCTCAATTCATGAGGAAGCAGGATCGTCCTCAAATGCTTAAACTGTCTTAAAAAAAATATGAATATGAAGTTTCCAGTACAATTCACCTTCCACATAAAATAGAAGCCTTTCATCATTTAATTTGTTACATAATAAAACTAATACCTGCTGTCAGTGTTGGTCTTATTAGCCCAGTTCACTCAAGCACATTCTCCAGTAATTCTTCCTCTCTCTCTCCAGTGACAGCTACATTGTGCGAGTGAAAGCAGTGGTGATGACGCGGGACGACTCGAGTGGCGGCTGGCTGGCACAGGATGGGGGGGCTCTGAGCAGGGTGGGGGTGTGCCGCCTCCTGCCACCACAGCTGGCACCTTCACCGTCACCCAGCAGCTCCCAGTTCCTCATCCGTGGTGAACGTCTGCAGGACAAACAGGTAAAACACACACACAAACATCAACAAATGCACATTAAGATAATTTTATGACAGGAGATGGAACATTTGTCTATGTGCTGGATAAACAGGTGATCCTGGACTACCCACTGAGGAAGGATCTGGTTTACACCATAGCGACACCCACATTTCACCATTGGAAGGTGGATGACAGGAGATGTGGCCTGTCCTTCCAGAGTCCAGCTGACGCCAGAGCTTTTGACAGGGGGGTGCGGAAAGCAATCGAGGACCTGGCTGAAGGTATGCTATACTAGTTGGACACATTGTCAAATTATCTGTCTGTCATCGATAACGAAATCTCAGTGGACCAGATGCAGCCGGAAGATCTGGTTCACTGTTCATTGAAGTCGTTAAGTCAATTAAAATTAAATGTGTTAATTAAAAGGAATTGGAAACTGATTTATAGATGCAGCTTTAACCTAAACTGAGATTGATTTCAGTGGCATGATGTTCCTTTATCACTGTGATTTCTCCTTGACTTCTGCAAAGTTTCTCACGAAGTCAGTTCCCTGGTCAGTGTCAGCAGTCGAGCTCTGGGGTTTCCCTCACTAATACATACTCCAGGAATGTGCTGGTTCTTTGACTTAAAGGCTGTTCCTGTTTTCTTTGCTGTAGGTTCCACAACCTCCTCTACAGCACTCCAGAATGAGGGCGAGCTTGGCGATGATGACGTCTTTACTGTAAGCAGGTTTCTTACATTCATGTACTATCATGTCAGAATTATGAGTTGAACAGGTCCATTACTCCATTTACCTCTACAATGATTTCCAGACAACAAGGGACAGTAGTCATGATATTTCAGAGACAAATCTGAAGAAAATGTACTTACTAGAAAAAAAGGGTATTGGCATAAACTGTCACATGACAAAGTAGTTCATCTTCTGTCTGTGTGTTTCAGTCAAACCAAAAACAGTCATGTTAAAAACATAGGAAGGGCTGCATTGCTGGGGTTGCTTCAGTTTCTGGTGAGACAATTGAACGCCGTCCAGGAAGGCCGATTAACAGAACCTTGATTGTGAAGGCTTTTCAGATGTCAGAATTCTGCAGAATTTTGCAATACTATGGATAAACATTTTACATCTCTGGAAAGCTGTCCTCTGTTGCAACGATTATGACGTAAACAGAAGAAAAACACCTTGCTAAATTATGTTTCTTTCCAGCAAATCTAGGCCAGGTTCAATTTTATTGCTGGATGACCTGGCTCCACTCAAAAGAACAAGGAGGCAGCATTTTTTCACACAGGGCTGGAGTTGATCTACGCTTGTGTGAATGACGGTTTAAGCTGCAGTGAGGCTGAAAAACCCATTTGACTGGAGCCAGTCTGTCAGCACAGCAGGGTCATCCAGCAGCAAAGTTTACCTGTTCAACTTTTTCTGCAGTTACTTTGAGATTATATTGCTTTGCAACATGAACAGAGTATGTCTCCTGTTCATGTTGCTTTTGTTGTAGCAAAAGGCAAAAGATTTGCCCTGTGATACATTTCCAAAGTTGTAAAAACCTGTCTTTAAGTATTACAATGTGCGATGTCTTGACATTTAATAAGCTAAACCACCCCTTGAGCCAGACTTCCTGCATCAGATTTAATGCAACCTGCAACCTTAGACAACAAGCCCCCATAGGCCATGTGCTATTTTGACACATTTTCAGTCTGAATGCCTAATACAGATTCGTAGTACCTTGTTCAAAGTCTCCAGTCTGCATTACTGAAATGGAAAAACTACTAACTGCACTGTGGTTCCAGTACACACTGAACATCTACTCAGCAAAAATCCCAACAGAATCATCTACATCCAAAAACTCTTAAGACTGTTTCATCTATCTAGCAGAAAGTATTTCAGCCCCCCCATCCTTTGACAAATAAGTTCCCCAGTGCATCATGTGTACTTAACTAACTTAAGTTAGCATGGAGGGCCACTTCCCCCCACTCTGTTTCCCAGCTTAGTGCACGGCCAGTGATTTATGAGAGGAAGTGCCTCGTGGTTCATGTTCGACTCGAGCTGTCTGTAAAGGCCAAGACTAATAGGTGCTCTGCTGGGAGTGTACAGCCACCACAGAGACACACACAAACACATTGAGGGGGGGGGATAATGATGTCACAGGGTGGAGCAATCCCTGAAACGGAGCACAGGGTTTTAGAGAAAGTAGGGGCTTTCAGTGCAACAAATTTAAGGAAGTTTCTGGGTATTGTTGCTCAAAAGGTTGCATTATTTACATTTCAGTTTAAGTCTCATAAATGCTCAAAGTACAGCAGATAATGAGATAGCCTCCATATTTATGCCTTCTTTCAAACTACTGAATTCATTGCAGTTTTAACACAAATAGCTCACCCTGTTCAGTATACACACACCAGTGGCCCTGACACACCACAAACTAGCACCAGCAAAGCAATACTGAAGAAATATTTTTGCATTGCAACATGTCTGCTTTTAAAATTTGTACTGGAACACACCACAAAGATTAAACCTAACTGCCAGGGGACGTACACATGCATTCTGCACCTACATGTGAGTAATAATAACTATCCTGTAGTCTGTATTTGTAATCCAAAAACCACAGTGGAAAGGCATAACAAAATCCAGCCTACTATTTTACCTGAGTGTACATTTAAACAGTCTCATTATTTGTGCTGAAACGAGCACTGTTAAGTTTAGCATTGCACTGGTGTTGCCAGTACAAGATGTTCTGCCTGTGAAAAAATGAAAATTATATCTTTCAAAATTAGTGGGGGGGGGGGACTATAAATGAGGGAAATCACTGATTTGCCAGAGAGCGCTCTTCACTAAAGAACTGCCATTCGAGACAAAACCCACCTGACCCCAACAAAGATTCAGGTCAGGTTGGGAAACTTATATTCAAATGTACTTCAATAGGAAATTTTATTCTTTGATTGTGTGAGTCATCAGTTTCCATACATGCTGTGTTGTAAGTAATACACAGTGGCTGGGGGGGAGGGTGAAAGGGTGTGGGGAAAGGCGAGCGAACATGGATGAAATAAAGCTAAACCATAGCTTTTGGTCTCAGGTTGAGATCAGGTCTCCAGTTTGGTCGCATTAGCCAGGTTCCACTGGGTCAGCCACAGATTTAATATGTTTAGCTGCCAACTAGTGCAAACTGTGCTGGACACACCAGAAAAAGAACAGACAGTTTGTGTTTGTTTTGTTTGTACGTCTTTGTCTTAGCATTTCTGCTTCCTGTACAGAGCTGCATCTTGGAAAAGTCTCACTTGGTGCATAGAGCGTATAGTATGAGGTCTTTAAATCACAAAACATCCTGAGACCAAACACAACAGCATTAGACTCACTCTTTTTCTAAAAGGACTTCACCAAACCTAATCTTGAATGTGTCAACTTTTACAACTATGGTACTAGAATAACAAGTTAGTAATCCTGTGATACAGTAATAGATTCAGTCCTGTTCCTCTTAGCCTGTGTTTATGACCTTTCCTAAAGTTGGTGGCAGCACAGTTTGCGAGGCAGGCAGCTGTGGACAGCGGGAAATGCTGCAACAGATTTACAGCCTTTGGGGAGATGGGGGAGGACTGGGGGGAAGCTAGGATGGACATACTTCCTTAAATTATTCCTCATTCGCCAAACCTAAACTTAACTCAACCCTTCCTCTGTCCCTCCCTTCAGCACGTCTCCTCTCTCTGTCTCTATTTTGGCCCATTCACAACAGGGAGATTGAGAGCTATTGAAGCAATTCTGGGCTCATCCCAGAAAAGTTAGACAGGCCTGCTGAAGGATGAATCCTCCCGAGCTTTGAGTCGGGACATGTTTTGTGTCAGAAAATAACTTGAAATGCCCTCTGTCCAGCCTTGGACCAGAATATAGAAAGAGAGGATGTCCAGAAATATAAACTCTCCTCCATGCAGTACAAAGTCTGGTCTGTGTTTTGAATTAGTTGCAGCCGTGGAGGCCAGAGTTGGACCAGTTTTAAACCATATCTGCTCCTCCCCCCGTAATATCTTCTCCAGGGGGGCGGAGCCTGGAGCGGAGGCAGCATGTTATGTTATTTTTGGCTGGCTGCTCTGAGGGCTTTGTAGAAAAGCTGGGGGAAATTCTCTGCATGGCGGTATCCATGTGTGGAGCAGTATATAATAGGGATAGCTTCAGCAGACATACAGACAGACGCACACCAGGTCTGGGTCATATAACTTGGGCAAATAACTGATAGTGTCGATTTCACGCTCGTTGCAGTACCAGATTTTGTCATGTGGGGTGAAAAATGTGTCAGTTTCATACTGTCTGAGAATAAGATTGTTAGGACATTTAGGGGTGATATGGACGTCACTTAGCTTCTTATTAAACTTTGAACTTTTACTTAACCTGAGTAAATATACTGCAGATGCTGTGTGCAGCAAACAACTACTTGACTTATTTGACTACCAGTCCTTTCCACATGTCTGAACACTGGCATGACGTACTTCACCACAGTATTAACTAGAAATGTTATTAAAAAAAATTGGGCCACCACATGCAACATACCTGTGTATGCTGCTAACTGGATTTTAAACCTTATTTAACTTTTAAGCTTGATTATTACTACAGTGTTTTTCTATGTGACTGTTGCTGATGTTGTATGGCAGATGTTGTTATTAAAAGTCAAGCTCACACACAGTGACCCAAACGGAGATCAAGTGGCTCAAAAAAACAGAACCCCTGCTTCCTGTTTTCCCAATCAGAGCTGCGCTGAGGCTTCCTGTTTTTGTTTGTCCAATCGTGGTGTCTGCTTGCACTAACTGTTTGTTTGGGATATCCAATCAGAAAGCAGCCTTCAGCCCATATCCTGTGTTTGTTTGTCCCTTCAGAACACCACAGACAGCTCATCCAACTCCTCCCAGAAACTGGAGAGTTCTCTGCAGCCGCTTGAGTCCTCACCCCTTCCACAGAGACACAAGTGCATGCTGGGACATCGCCACGACCTCCACCACCCCTACTGGCACTCAGACCACTACTCCTTGGAGCAGGTGAGCCAAACAACATCTGGTTGTTTGACACAGGACATGGAGCTCCTTCCAAACAGACACTAAATGTCGTGATGAAACAACTGCAGACTATTAAATTCATTGTAAGAAGGTTTTCAGAATTTATTTACTTACCCTGAACATTCTTCTGAAAGTTATCATGATAAAGACTCTTTTTATTTATGTTTTGTATATTTTACTGCTCATCTGAGCAAACCTGGGTTGATTACTTACAGCGTTGTTTATGTATAATTCTATCTTCTCTTCAGCCATTGTCTCGGCTTTCTCGCCATGTTACTTTCCAGGAGGATGAGGAAATTGTCCGCATCAACCCTCGGGAGCGCAGCTGGGAGCGAGCCACCGAGCATCACCATGGACGTCAATCGACTCGCCCCTGGCACACAGGCTATGAGGACTATCGCCACGCTGCTGTGCGTGACAAGTTCATCCAAATGGACAACTCTGATTTCTACGCCCGCTTGGCCAAGACAGAGGCACAGAAGCACGATTACACCTACCCACTGGCACCAGCCCTGTCGCCCTCAGACTCTGATTCCGCCCTTGGACCCTTGACAAATAAGGGCCACAGGGGCTCATACCGCCACGGCATCTCCTCTGTAGTCTCCACCCAGCCCCATGCCTTCCCCCCAAGCTCTTCCCTGTCCACCAATGGTGGGAAAGGGAGGAAGGAGGATGGGATGGAGCGTGCTCAGTGTGAGCACTGCGGTGAGGCCTTTTACATCTCCAACAACCGGAGAGGGCGGTGCCAGGATGCTCCAGACCCTGTACAGGTGTGCATCCGGCGGGTCAGCTGCATGTGGCTGGCAGACACCATGCTCTATCACTGCATGTCAGACCCAGAAGGGGACTATTCAGACCCTTGCTCCTGTGATGGGGGTGAGGGCAGCGGAGGAGGTCGACTGGGCACACGCTGGTTAGCTCTGCTGGGCTTGTCTTTGGTAGCGCCCTGTCTCTGCCTCTACCCGCCTCTCCATGCTTGCCATCGGGTGGGGCTCACGTGCGGCTGGCGCGGGGGGCGCAAAACAAGGAAAGAGAAGGATGGGGAAATACACAGAGGGGACAAGTGGCTGCTCATTCTTTTGCCTTGGTTTCTCTGGGTTTCTCTACAAATTCCAGACACTGAAACAGGCCAAAAAAGAAAGGAAAAAAACTAAAGCGGTGCATTTTCTGAATGGCCTGGGAAGATAAGCTCCTCTTTAGAGTAGACAGTTCTCCCAGCTCTCCACGTGGCCATTTCATGCTCTGTTTTCAGTGAGAGAGCACTCTTTTTCAGGGGGCCTTTTTTTAACTAGCTGACCTATATGTCAGATATGCAGGTACTTTATAGTTAACACCGTGACTCAAATAGTTTGAACTGATTTTGGTATTACACGTGGCCATTTTGTTTATATTCTATTCCAGTATCAGGCCCACTCAGCTCAACTTCAGCTACAACAGAAATCAGACACTACACCTCTTTGTGTGCGTATGCAGGTATGTGTGGATGTTATATGCACATGTCTATGATGTGCGCTGAGGCCCCGGTGTTGTCTCTAATGCAGCTTAGCATAAAGCTCATGTATATAGTCTACATAGCTCTCTACCATTGACATCTACTTTGTTCACTGAAACAAATGTGGTACTCATCTTAATCTCCTTCTGAAATCCCAAAGATTCATGTGTTATCCTATTTATTTTCTTACTGAATTGTTCTACCAGCAAAAGGGTGCTGGGCTGTGATTTCCTCAGTGAAAGAGACAGTGCCTCATGCTACTATACTCTAGCATCAGTCTCCCGTCCTCCTTTTACGTTATTTCAAGCAGTGCCTAGAGTATCACCTAAATCCATCCAGTCAATTTTTTGGGTCATTTTACACAACATACACTTGAAGAGGGATGTGGCTCTGATTTCCTCTTTCTTTGCAGAACCTCATCCAACAATCCGTGTCAAGGACTGAAAAATCAGTCAACACTATCGTTCAAATTGGTGCCCGTTATGCCTTAAAATGTGGAGTCTGGGTCCTACAGTAACTTCACTCCTCTGAAGATGTCGCTTATAATGAAAAGCGTGAGCATTGTTATGGCTTCAAGCAATCAGCCTCAATATATGACCTAATAAACTTGGTTTAAGCTATTTTTGTAATGAAAAGGAACTCTTTAAAAGGTTCTATTGAAGTGTGCAACTCCAGTTTGCCTGCGATATACAATCACTTCCCCTCTTTAAACGTTCCTCTGGAGTCCACCAGTCACATGTGGAACAACAAAGTGCTCACCTCTGGTTCACTAAATGAAATGCCTGTCTAAACCTATCCAAAATATTTAGTCTCCTTCATAGAAAAAAAACTTAAGTACTTACGAAATACAGGCATTGAATTTCTTGCTGAGAATGACTGTAGATGAGAATATCATGTCTTTGTGTTAAAAATTAAGCTAACCTGGAGGCAGAAGGTCAGTACCCTCACTGAGCATATCCAATGGAAATAGGAAATAGAAGGAAACAGCTAGTCCGGCTATGTCCATAGATTTTTGTTAAAAATCAGCCTAGCATTACCTCTAAAGTTTACCGATTAATATGTTATATCTTGTTTGTTTAAGCCACACAAAAATCATGGTGTACTGTACAAGAGACAAGGTGTGGTTTTTACAGGGGTTATATACCAGGCAATTTCTTGGCTGGGCGCAGTGACTGGTTAGAAATTGTCCAAATGAGATACAAATAAGAAAAGACATGAAATGGTGAATTTCAGAGGTGTGGGGCTTTTTAAACCTTTGGACAGAGCCAGATTGTTTTTCCATTTCCAGTCTTTATACTAAGTTAATTGTCTATTGGCTGCTTGGTTCTTAATGAACTCTCAGCAAGAAAGCAAGCAGGAGTCTTTTCCAAAGTGTCAAACTATTCCTTTGAGGTCAAAATATTTCATTGTATATTGGAGCTTACCATGAGACCAATTGCTGATACCATATTTACAGGTGACTGGTGTGCCCTAGTGTTATCAGTCCATATTTTATCCTTCCATGTCATCACACCCACAGAGAGTAACATTGAAAGTTTATCAACTCGACTGAGAACAAAACCATTAAAGCCTGTTCATTCAGGATCATAGTGGGTGTGTAAATGTACAATCTAGGACACTGGAGACGTGTCCCACTGCAGCCGCCCAATCACACCCTCACACTGACAGCACAACACTAAATTGACCCCCACGTGGGTGCTTTATGCCTCGTCTAGGCGTGGTTGATGGCAGGATCGGGGATTTGACCGGGAGCACGATAAGCTTTTTGAGAATTTAAAATAAATAAATAAATAAATAAAGAGAAGCAGGACATCAGTAGGGTCCCACTGGAAAAGAATGGGAGTCTGTTAAACAGCTGAAATCTTGGAAACAAACACCCATCTTTGATTGTTTTGCCAAGGAAATGTCACTTACTGTAGTTGAAATACAGAATGGCTGAGGATGTCCTTTTTCCTTCCCTGGTTGTGTCTGTTTCATACGTCCTGTCCTGTGTGCCACTTTATATGTCCTTGGTGTGTGTGTGTGTGTGTGTGTGTGTGTGTGTGTCTACGCCACATCCCTTTCCCCTCTCCTGCCCCTGATCCAAAGCTACTGGGGTCAGCTGAATATGCCATCACATACTGACACCTCTACTTTATAATCAGATCATTTGATGTGATGTTTCATGGGGCCAATTAGATTGGAAAGTGTGTGTGTTAGTGTGTGTCGACGTTTAATCTTTTTTTCTTTGTCTTCGTCTACTGTTTAAATGTTTTCTCATGTCAGAGCCATTTACAAGTGCCTGAAAGCATCCTCTTTATCTCCTTGTGTATTTAAATTGAAAAAAAAAATAAACAAGACCCTGTAATGAATTAGACCCATTTTTTATGCTTAGTATTTTTATCTCTGTAAAAAAGAGCAAAAAGTATATTATATATATCAAGTATATGTTGTACATTTTTATTTCATTTTCATTTTTTAATGATGTACGATGTTGGGTCTCTTGCTTTTGAGAAGGAACAGGAAGTGTTTTGTAGATACTGAACGGTGGTCTGTGAGAAAACTAACATTAAATGTGTGTCTTACCTTCCGCCTCCAATAAAATGAGAAAACAGTGAAACCACACAAGTCTGCTGCTTAATTTTACTCTCAGATTGAAGGTACTTCCACACAAATATCTAGTGACCTAAGCAACCCCCCCCCCCCCAATTGGGGCCAACACACAACAACAAAAAACATGAAAATAAAAATGTAATGAATTATTTATAGTTATTTACAGTTGAAAAATTATGAGAACATTAAAAACAACAGACTGCACTAGCTAAATGCTAATGCATGCTAACATGCTCATATGTACAGTTTACCATGCTCGCCATCTTAATTAAGTGCATTACAATGCTAACATTTGCTAATACGTACTTGACACAAAGTACAGATTATGGAAACATCATTAGTTTTGCAGGTATTTGTTCATAAACCAAAGTGATGTAAAAATATCAAATGATTACCTCCTGGTGTCACCAGCATCTGTAGGATTCATCCTCTGTGGACCATTAAAGATAAACAAAGCAAAACAAATCTTAGAAATTTGTTGTTTTAAGTACAACAAATTGCATTTTTGCAAAGACAAATTAGGTCACTGTATAAAGTTCCTCATTCTGTATCTGAAAATGTTTACTGAATTTTGAACAAGGACAAGACTCATAAACATCAAATAATTTGAAGCCACATAAATTCCTACACATTCCAAAACAAATAAATCTTTAGAAATGAGATTGCTAGGGAGAAAGGATGTCAATCTTAACTTCAGGAGGGGATCCAGATGATAAAAAAAAAAAGAAGAAGAGAAAAAAGGCCCTCAAGGTCTGAAGTTTCTCATTATGCTTTAATAACTTCCACAGGTTTTTGCACAAAATTATTTGATTTAAAGTATTTAATGAAATAAAGCTCAGTACACCGTTTCATTCCCTTCAAGATGTCTCTCCCTGGCTGCCTCCATCCTCAGCAAGAACATGTGATAGCCATTGAGGACGTCGAGCTGTTTCACTCAGGATGTCTCTGGAAAAGCATGTGGGCGATAATGACGGAGCACGAGAGCGGGGAGGGGGAGGGAGAGAGAGAGAAAAGAGAAGAAATTAAGGTCCCTGAGGGCTTATGGGGGCCTGCTAAGCAGCTCAACGGCTGCAAACAGCATCACAGTCCACATGTGCAAACGTTTAAGATATCTGCTCGTGTAATGGGGTCAGTGTGGCCCCTCTCTGAGTGCACAAAGCAGAGGCACTCACTTCCCAGTGCAGTTTACAGAAATGGGTGGCTAGTCTTCGACCTGTGCTGCTGTCTCATGCTCAAAGACGGGCAGGAGTTTTACATTTTCCTCCTTACAGAGATTTTGTTCTATATCTGTGTTACTTGTGCAACATTTCAGCTAGTTGTCATTCCTGAATTGCCTGATTGATCTACACTGAACAGCAGTAAAGCTTACAAGGAACCTCATAATTATTTCAATGTCTTTTGTAAAGGACTCAGTTCAAACTCTGAATCTTAGGCCTGAGGAAGACATCCCTCTACTCCCACCCTGTGGGAGTAAAATATTTCATTTGGTAAAGGTTTGTGCAAATGCAATTTGAAAACCTGTGACCATAACTGGTTAAATCTTGTATTTAGCTGATAACAGAACAGAAAAGTACTCAATTACAAGCAAAGTCCTTTCACATCATGAAGCTCATTCAAAAATCAACTTAAATTTCTTACGTTACATAGCATTGTATTGTTGGGAAAATGCTTTGTTATAGTTAAGTTACACATTTATTATTCTCCTACCTTAACATGTATCAATAATTTTAAAGAGTTTAAAAAACTCAAATTCTAGATGGAGAGGGTTTTTCCACCTGATACAACACTTTCATGTTCCGGTTAAGATGATTGTCTAAAATGTTTTAAATAACCGAGAGAACAATCTCACCACATTAACCACTGAGTAGCTTTTCTGTGGCTTTTCATATGATCTTCCTGAGCAGATGATGCTCGCCTCGTTGTTGTCAAATTGTAAATGATCAAAGTTCTTTTTTTTTTTCCCCTAAAAGCAGAGAATGAAAGTTCATTCATGGCTGTTGTGCTCTGACCAAAATGTGTAAAATTCACTGTCAAGTTTCATGAAAAGCTGGCATTCGGTTCACATTGTTGAGAAAAGCAAAGTTTAGCTAACTTATGTTGACTGTACTGTAGAATCTGAAGCCACACCTGCCAGATAAATGAATTTAGTGGAGTTAAAACTACAATATTACACTCCAAAATGTAGTTGACGGAATGTTCAAAGGTTCAACTACAGTACCAGTCCCTCAAACATGTCCTTAGTCATGTATTACCTCTACTGAAAGTCAATAGGCTATGCTCAGATGTGGAGGAAAACAAACAGTGCATCAGAGGGAACAGTACAGGGTTAAGAGGGAAGTGACAAGCGTCAAGGGATTAAAATGGAATGAGATCGGAAGG